AATAAACAAACTCTTTACCATCACAGGAGCAGCAGCTAACTTAGTCTTCGCATTCAACACAGGGATGCTTCCAGAGATTCAGGTGATGGTTTGCTTTAGGTATACTGTTCAGTTGCAGCATGAATGATCTTTCTTATTAACACTGTGTCTTTCTGCAATGATAGGCAACAGTGAGACAACCTGTTGTTAAAAACATGATGAAGGCTCTATACTTTCAGTTCACAGCTGGTGTTATACCAATGTATGCTGTTACATTCATTGGATACTGGGCTTACGGTTCCTCAACCACGACCTATTTGCTAAACAGTGTTAATGGCCCACTCTGGGTCAAAGCCCTTGCTAACGTCTCTGCTATACTTCAATCCGTTATCGCTTTGCATGTAAGTTACTTAGCACCAAGTCTATAACTTCTGCTCGGTTCTGACTCAACTCTTTTGTGTTGTAGATATTTGCAAGTCCAACATATGAGTACATGGACACAAAGTTTGGTATCAAAGGAAACCCATTGGCTTTAAAAAACTTGACGTTTAGGATCATGGCCAGAGGAGGGTACATAGCGATTAGCACGCTTGTCTCAGCGCTCTTACCGTTCCTTGGTGACTTCATGAGTCTCACTGGTGCAGTGAGCACATTCCCTCTCACATTCATTCTAGCCAATCACATGTACTATAAGGCTATGAACAATAAGCTCAACTCTATGCAAAAGATATGGCATTGGCTTAACGTTGTCTTCTTCAGCTTGATGTCTTTGGCTGCTGCTATTGCAGCTGTTAGACTCATCGCCCTTGATTCCAAAAACTTCCATGTTTTTGCAGATTTGTAATTCATTATACATATACATATCTATATATATATATAGTCATTGCATTATTGTTCTTAGGCAATATTTCTTGTATTCTCTTTTTTTTGTGTGTATATATTATATAACCATCAGAGCCTAAGTAATTAAAAAATGTAAAAAGAATACAATGTGCCAAAGTTTATATTACTTAACTTTTTTTGTCAACTACCCATACATTGTGATCAAGTTCTTGCTGATATTAAAACAACTCAAAGAACCACTTGGTTCCTAGACAAAAGTAGTTAGCTCTGAAACAAAAACCGGCCTCTCAACCGGGTTGTCGATCATATCCACTCTATCTTCAAAGAGTCTGTAACCGGGATTCTTAATTCTTAATTCATAATTTAATATTATTTTTTTGTTTTTTTTATACTTTTCGGCTAAGAACCAATATCTCTTATTTAAGAGACTATTCTTAGTTTTTCTTAGTTAAAAGCTAAGAAACGGTTCTTAGCCGAATCTAAAAAACTTACCCTAAGAACCCGGGGTCAATCATGATCTTAGATTTTTGGTTACAAAACCACCTAATTTGTGATATTGCCCAACCATCAGCCAAACTAAAGAAAAAATGAAGAAGTTGTATGCAATTTGTATTATTCGACACACTGATCAACAAATGTCTCAAGAATCTATATGACACACTGATCATCAACAAATGTCTCAAGAATCTTTTAAACGGCTAAGTAACTTTAGTTTTGCAGTATTTAACTTCTAACTCTTACTTCTTGTCTTGTAGCTATTATGCAATAACTTTCATGTGAACTTAGTGGTTTAAAGTTGATGATCAATAAAGAACCAATCACTAAACCCTACAAACTTTAACTGATATCTATCGTGGAGTTCCGACTCCATCATCAATGTGTATGGCCACTACGTAATAAAACGTTATATCAATCTAAAGTAAAGATTATATCATTGAGAAAAAGAAGAAGAAAGTATGACCACTACTACTTCAGTCAAAAAGTAGCAAATTATTTTAAAGGTTGCTTTCCCCAAATTTTTTGCATGTGGTCGAGGTAAAGGCTCTTATCAAACCATTATAAAAAGCTCTTTAGCTCCTAAGACTACTTAGTGCTAGAGATCATGAGTTCCACGGGAGCTAAGAACCGCACAAGCAATGTTAATGATGGTGAACATTTTGATATCGAAGTCCCTGACACTGCTCATCAGATTAGCAGCGGTTTGTAATTAGTTTCTCTTGTTATTTTAACCTTTTTTAACTATGAATCTTTATAAGTATGTTTTTGTGTAATTTTTACAGATTCATGGTTTCAAGTGGCGTTTGTTTTGACAACTGGAATAAACAACGCTTATGTGTTGGGATATTCAGGAACAGTGATGGTTCCTTTAGGTTGGGTTGGTGGTGTGGTTGGTCTTATTCTTGCAAATGCTATATCTCTTTATGCAAACGCTCTTGTTGCCAAGCTTCATGAGTTTGGTGGCAAGAGACATATTCGTTATAGAGACCTCGCTGGATTCATTTACGGTAAAAGAACCAAATAATTTACTCTTTTTTTTTTTTTTACTATCATTGTAATGATTTGGTCTCTTCTTTTATCAGGTAGAAAAGCTTACCGTCTTACATGGGGATTGCAATATGTTAATCTTTTCATGATTAACTGTGGATTCATCATACTAGCTGGTTCTGCTTTAAAGGTAGTAGTAAACCATTTTGTCTTAGTTTCTTTCGTTTCTTGTGAGACAAGTTAGTTAACTTTGGAGTGTGTTGTGTTTCTCCAGGCTGTTTATGTTCTTTTTAGAGATGATCATGCCATGAAACTACCTCATTTCATAGCCATCGCTGGTCTGTTTTGCGCGGTTTTCGCGATTGGTGTTCCTCACTTATCAGCTCTTGGGATATGGCTTGTAGTTTCAACCATCTTCAGTCTCATCTTCATCATTGTTGCAATCGTGCTAGCAGTTAAAGATGGTACATAACTTAAATGATGATCATGCTTCCAAGTGTCAACTACATACTATTGATAAACTTGGCGTTTCTTTGTGTTGGTTTTAGGAGTGAAAACACAATCAAGAGACTACGAGATACAAGGAACACCATCAAGTAAACTCTTTACCATCACAGCTGCAGCAGCAAATCTTATTTTTGTATTCAACACAGGAATGCTTCCAGAAATTCAGGTTATAAAACTGTTTTAACGTTTTGAAAATGTAATATTCTTTTTGTTTATATCGAGGTGTAAATGATCCTTTTTATATGTGTTGCTTTGGTAGGCCACAGTGAGACAACCGGTTGTGAAGAACATGATGAAGGCTTTGTACTTTCAGTTCACGATCGGTGTTTTACCGATGTTGGCGGTTACATTCATCGGATACTGGGCTTACGGTTCCTCCACCTCGACCTATCTGCTAAACAGTGTTAGTGGTCCACTTTGGGTCAAAGCAGTTGCTAACATCTCTGCTTTTCTTCAATCTGTTATCTGTTTACACGTAAGTTTCTTTGCATGACACCGTTTCAAACTATTTAAAACTCTTGTGTAAACTGTTTTATCAGAACAGGTCCTGGACATGAGAGCATATGGAAGTGAAATATTAGTCTATGACCTATAAAATTTTAAGAGAATGTATATAAATATAGATCTGTAAAATTGCTAAAACGGTTTTTTTTAATTATTAATAAAGTTCTCTACAAAATGTCTATAACCTTCAAAATTTCAGGATCGACAATGATTATGTATCAACATATATATACAAATTTTAGATAAAACTAAAAGCTAGTGATTTTTATTCTTCATTTCAAAACCAAGTGTCTTGGCTAGAACTGGTCCGTGATAAAATCTATATAAATATTTGCTTATTATATTCTTACAAATTCCTAACAAAAATTTGTTCTGACTCTCAATTTTTTTTTTAAAATAAATAATATACATCTTACAAATTGTTAAATGTAAAAAAAAATTATTAAACCTTATCTTACACAACTCTTTGTGCTGTAGATATTTGCAAGTCCAACATATGAGTATATGGATACAAAGTTTGGAGTCTCAGGAAACACATTGGCGTTAAAGAACTTGACGTTTAGGATCATGGCTCGAGGAGGGTACCTCGCGATCAGCACGCTTCTCTCAGCGCTCTTGCCGTTTCTTGGAGACTTCATGAGCTTCACTGGTGCAGTGAGCACAATCCCTCTCACATTCATTCTAGCCAACCACATGTACTACAAGGCTAAAAACGATAAGCTCAATCCTATGCAAAAGCTGTGGCATTGGGTTAACGTTGTCTTCTTCAGTCTGATGTCTGTTGCTGCCGCGGTTGCAGCTCTTAGGCTCATCTCCGTTGACTCCAAGAACTTCCATGTTTTTGCCGATCTGTAATTTATTTCTATATATATAGTCATTTTATTTTTGTTCTTAAGAAAAACCCATTATAGGGTAAATAAAACTATGATGTATACAAATAATTACTACTTTCATGATATCACATTAAATGTTTTAATATTTGTTATAATAAAGTTTCATCTTTTTTATTTTGTTGAATTTGAACAATGTAACCAGTTCTTCCTAAATTTTATAATCATGCATAAACTAAAAGCGAAAAAAACACAATTACATACAAATCTTTATGAGGTGTTCAAAGTTCTCTTTTTTTATTTTGTAACTAAAAATTCTAATTGTGTTATGTTTTATATTGATTTTATACCAAGAAGTTGATTTTTTAAATTGGTGTTTAGTTTTTTTTTTTGTCAGCCGCACATTTATTCTATAGATCAAGTGGTGACCAAATCGAGTTGATTGCCCGAAAAAAACTTCGTTTGGCTGGATTTGATTTATGTGGGAAAATGAATAGCTCTACTCCTTGTTTCTTTAGGTAGTGCATCTTTTTGTCCATTTCTATTTCGCGGAATATGTGAAAGACTCACATTATTGAAATCTTCTCGTAGTCGCTGAAACACTATGATCTATGTCGCAAAAACCGACCAATCCTCCGGTCTAATAAAAGAGTATAGTTATGAGAAAAATAATAATAATAATAATAATAAAGTTTCATCTTCTATTTTTTTATTTTTAAATATAAAGTTTCAGCTTTCAATGATTTGGTGTTACGTTTTCAAATTTTTTAAAAATAATAAAAAGACAGGACAAAGTGGAACCTCACTGTCTCCACCAAAGCAAAGCTTAAGATAAAAATAAAGTTAAAGCCTTTAGATATATCTCATCTCACTCATTATTTTGTCGAACGTGCTCTCAATAATCATTACCATTTCATCTAACTTCGTATTCTCCACATCTAACTTCGTCTTTTTTGATTTCGCATTTTTCTGTTTGGTGTTTGTTCAGATCGACGGAGAGGTAAAAAAAAAGACTTCACCTTTTTGTTAATTCTAGACTGTTTCAATCTGTTAAAGTTTGCTGTTTTTTACAATATTTATATGAAAAAAGAAGCAATCTTTAGTTTTGAATTTATGATTTGATCATAAAACCATCTGATTCACGGATCGGTTTTGTTTGGAATATTCTTTGATTTGATTCAAATAGCTAAAGCATCTGTCAATGTGGATGAGTTAAGAATGCTTGATGGGGTTTTGTCTTTTGTGTTCTGGTTTTAAAATGTTGATAGGGTTTTGTTATGGTGTGCAGTGAGAGAGAGAGAGAGAGAGGAAGGACAGATTGTGAAGAAGCAACAGGAAACGATGTCGTTTACAGGAACGCAGCAGAAATGCAGGGCGTGTGAGAAGACAGTGTACCCTATGGAGCTTCTCTCAGCTGATGGAGTTCCTTTCCACAAGTCTTGCTTCAAGTGCTCTCACTGCAAATCCACTCTTCAAGTGAGTTTTTTTTTTGTTTTGATTATGAATGAATGTTTGATAATATCTTGGATTGTCTTACATTGATGTTCTCATTGTGAATTGAAGATTCAAGCTTTATCATTAGAGCCTTGAGTGGCCAAACGTCCCTTAAAATTTTTTATGGATATAGTTTACTGGTTTGTGTGAATGTTGTAAGGGATTCACCAATAGGTTCTCTAAAGAAAGATAGATTTTGAGTTCAAGACTAATCAGTGCAGCTTGAATGACCAGTTTCCGATAAAGCAATCTCTGATTATTAGTGCAGTTAATGGATTTGTTGGCTTAACACATATACTTGTTTAACTACATTTGGTCTGGTTTTAAACAATCAAGTTCAAATGTGTGTTTGATGGCTTTGGTTTGCTTACAGCTGAGCAACTATTCATCAATGGAAGGTGTGTTGTACTGTAAGCCTCATTTTGAGCAGCTCTTCAAGGAGACTGGTAGTTTCAACAAGAACTTTCAGTCACGTATGTAACTAACTCACTCTTCACCTTTTGATCCCACTTTTTACTTGCTGTGTTTTTAGTCTCAGTTTTTACAATTTTCATCTTCAAACTTTCTTTCCCCTCACAGCTGCAAAGCCATTAACTGACAAGCCAACTCCTGAGCTGGTAAATATCTCTCTTAAACAATGCTCCCCATGTTCTTATATAGTATACATGATCTCTTCGTGGTTGTTTTCAGACAAAGACACCTAGCAAACTTGCTGGAATGTTCTCTGGAACACAAGATAAATGCGCTACTTGCAGTAAAACCGTGTACCCTATCGAAAAGGTAACTGTGGAGAGCCAGTGTTACCATAAGTCTTGCTTCAAGTGTTCACATGGAGGCTGTCCAATCTCTCCATCCAACTACGCAGCTCTTGAAGGCATTCTGTACTGTAAACACCATTTCGCTCAGCTTTTCAAGGAGAAAGGAAGTTACAATCATCTCATCAAATCTGCTTCCATCAAACGCGACGCTGCTGCCGCCACAGCTGCTGCTGCTGCTGCTGCTGTTGAAGCCGTCCCTGAATCTTAAATTGGAAAGTTGTTTCTACCAAAACTGGTTTCAGAGTGTTTTTTACTTTGTGTCTGTGATTGTGTTACTTTTACTCTACTGAGTTTGTTCTTGTTGTGATTCTAACAACTATGCAGCTTTTAAAACAACACTATTGTACCTTATCTTTGAAATGGTACCCAAACTATATATCACAAATGGTACCATGAATGTGATCAATCTTACATTATGTACTTTATCTTTGAATGGTATATGTAACTATATCACAGAAACTCTTGAAAACCTATGCACATTTGAAATTTGAAAAGTAGAGTCCATGGTCTCAACATCTTTCACTGTACTCCAAAGATATCATTATAGGTAAGACTTGGAAGCTTGAATAGACGCTTGCTTTGCCAGTTCCACTGGCCTGTTAACACATCCATATGATTACCAATGACTCCAACTATGCGGTTGTCTCTTTCTAACTCTTCCTTCTGTCTTGTATCTTCCCTGCAAACAAGAGAGTATGTTAAGTTCTTTATAATTTGATCAATGTGAATGAACTTCTATTGCAAACCTCATGATCAAACCGGACCAGTCGCTATATCCTCTAGATTTTAACTTATTGGTGGTGGAGTTTCTCTCTGTATCGGGTCTTCTTGATAAGAGAACCATTGAATAGCCTTGTGATCTTAGCTTAGAGTATAGTTCAAGTGTTAGTTTGCTTCTCTGATGCTTTGCTTCTTCAATGTAACTCTCTTGTTCTATCCTACACACAGAGAAGAAGAAACATTAAGCAACTTTCTGAGAATCAAACACTTCCAAAAGGTAAACTTACAGATTGATGTCATCAACATCGACCACAACAACATCCATGTGATCATTCCTCGGTTTGATGGTCTTGAAGTAAGTGAGAACCATTTGGATAGTGAAGTTCAACTCTCTCAAGTATACTCCTTCTTTGATTCTTTGTAAACCAATGTCTCTGCATAACAACGGTAACTCAATACTACTCTCTTCATCATCATCCAAACTATTGAGCTTAGAGTGTAGAGACAAGATTCTGCAGTAACTCAAACTCTCATCATCAACAAGTCTTTGAACCTGAATGATTCCAGAACTTTTGTTTTCGCAGCTTTGTAACATGGTTGATATAGCTATAAGAAGTGTAAGCATCAACACACCGAATGTCACAAGAGAAGCAATGAAGATGGTAGCTGCCAGAGATGTCATGTAACATCCAGAGTCTATCGAAAACCTACTTCCCATCTCTGTAACAAGAAGACTGTTAAGTCCAAGAATCATTTCAAAGAACTGGTTTAGCTCTCAGATGATTATAAATGTTATGAATATACCGGAGTTGCCTCGGCTGGTGAGACCTGAGAGTTCCCTCTCCATCTGATGCGCATAAGCTGACATCTTTACCTATTGATGATCATAAACAAACACCATCCATAGTTTAAGAATAATATTTGAAAAACTGTTTTGTAAAATAGTGGATCTGTTTCTGATAGTTTCATTACCTTGTAGAAGCTTCAGAGCGATAATGAGAATCTTTATTGGACCAAGATCTGAACACAATGGTCGCAAGAAAACAGAGACACAGACATGTGACTCTTGTGTCATCAGCTCGAGTTATATATTCTTTACTACATCAAATAACATCGTCTTCTTACTCTTTTTGAGGTGGTTAGTTTTTGTTTTCTTTCTCAAATTTTGTGGAGACATGCAAAAAAAAAAAAAAAGAATATACAGTATAATCAAATATGTGACTGCAGACAATCCTGTTCTTGAGTTATATATTATATAGTTTTCATGTGCTTTAAGGTCTTTTCCAATAAGAGATAAACATATAGACGCTAGAAGACTCGTGAAGGAATCATGTCATATTTTTGAACTTTAATAATTGTAGTTATCCTACAGTAACTATTGATCATATTAGTCATATGATAAACTTTAATAATTGTAATGTTGAGAAACGGATATGTTCATCAAAAGATTACAAAAAATATAGGGCCCTTTTATTAAAAAAAAAAAGATTACAAATGTAGGAAAACAGTGTTCAAGTCTACTAGTCGTATGTGAAGATATGCCTATTGCTCATTGCATTTCATTCATTACGTAGTCTTAATCCATTACTATACTAAGTGGTAACATTGAGTTCTTCTAGTTTTATCAGTTTTGCAGATTAATACTTTTGTATGTATCGAAGAATCTCGATCTTTGGGACCATACGATGTCGATATATATATATACGTATGCATTTTATGTCTCATGCATATACGACACCAATTTACAATCGTATGATAAAGATTAGTTATCCTCAGAATTTTGTTCTTTTTGAAGAATTAAGAAACGGGTCCCGCCGTCATCAGTATTGTATGGCCAATGTCTTAACGTACGAGTAGACTTGAAAAGGAAATCTAACAAATGTTTTGTGAGCTTTAACTAGTTCTGTCCTAACTCCTATCCAATAAGGGGATATTATCTGAACTAATCCAATGTATTTCTGTAAAAGATAATAGATTAACAAAAAAATAATATTTATGATTAACAGCCAATCAAACAATATACAAGAAACTTATTTTTAAGTTAACCAAACAAGATAATTAGAAAGAGTGATAAAAAACTTGATAAAAAACCTTCTTCCATACAAACCAATGGCTTTAGAGTTTTTGGGGGTAATATAATGAGTTTTGTCTTTTGCTATTATTGTTTAAGATATGCATATCAATCATGTATATCAGAGTATATGTATGTATCTGTGACGTATGAAAATATGCACACAATTGAAATCTACGACTTCAATTATCAAAGAACTTTTAATTATTGATTCTCAGAATAATCAGAAATAGGGTGGGTCCATTCCTCACAATTATGCATGTATGAGTATGAGTGTATGACCCCCTCCTAGATTATAACTTTTTCATGCGTTTATATATTCTTGGATCCCAAAAAAAAAAAAAAAAAAAATATATATATATATATATATATATATATTTGGATCTCTTTTTGTAACCCTAACATTTTCATATTCAGATTTTCATTTATTTGTTTTTTGTCGAAATAAGATCAAATGATTTATCCTTCTTTGAGTGACAACATCACAACTTGAAGAAACTGATGCTTTTCATAAGCCCATTTATCTTCTAAGATGACTGATGATCATTTGATACATGCATACAGGCCCGTCTCTAAGCCCATTACGTAAGCCCATTTACCTTTTTTTAAATTCCCATTTTCATTTATTTGTTTTTTATCGAAAATATCTCAAATGATGATCACTCTTTGAGTGTGATCAACACTTCCTCCTCTCTCTTTCACACACAAAGCTTGAAGAAGAGCATCCATGGATGCACTCAAATGCAGCTCCACCTTCCTCCACCACACCAATCATCTCACCACTCTCTTCTCCAACCACACATTCCCTAAACCCCACACCCCCAATCTCAACCGCCGATCTCCGCAGCCACTCTCCCTCTCCGCCAAGGACACAAGAATCACCAACAACGAGCCCGAAAACGTCGCCGTAGTGGAGAAACCTCCACTATCTCATCGATTCCTCGTCTCCGACGGACTTCCTTCCCCGTTCGGCGCCACCGTTAGAGATAACGGCGTCAATTTCTCCGTCTACTCCTCAAACTCCGTCTCCGCCACCATCTGCTTGATCTCCCTCTCCGATCTCCGTCAGGTTTAGTCTATAATTTCCAATTTCGATTTATAATAATCGACATTTGATTTTTTGTTTTTTTTTTTCACGTTTGTAGAACAAAGTGACGGAGGAGATTCAGCTCGATCCATCGAGGAATAGAACGGGGCACGTGTGGCACGTGTTCTTGAAAGGAGATTTTAAAGATATTTTGTACGGTTACAGATTCGATGGGAAGTTTTCTCCTGAGGAAGGTCATTACTATGACTCATCTAATATCTTATTGGATCCTTACGCGAAGGTTAGTGGAGTAAATTGAAATGTTGTTAGATTATCTCTTTGGTTTGAATTGGATCTAATTTTTTTTTGGTTTTGGTAAAGGCAATTGTTAGTAGGGATGAGTTTGGAGTTTTGGGAGGGGATGATGAGAATTGTTGGCCTCAGATGGCGTGTATGGTGCCAACTCTTGATGAAGAGGTGCTTTTGAATTGATGTAAATATTATTATTTAGTGTGTGAGGGTCAGTTACTTGTGGTGTTAATGTTCTTTTTTTTTGTGTTATTTAGTTTGATTGGGAGGGGGATATGCCTTTGAAGCTTTCACAGAAGGACCTTGTTATATATGAAATGCATGTGCGAGGTTACACAAGGCATGAATCTAGCAACATTGAGTTCCCTGGGACTTACCAGGGTGTTGCGGAGAAGCTTGACCATTTGCAGGTACTTTAATTAGTTTATATGTGGAAATCTTAATAGTCTGTCAACTATAAGTCGTTTGCATATTGACAGGAGCTTGGGATAAATTGCATTGAATTAATGCCATGTCACGAGTTTAATGAGCTGGAGTATTACAGCTACAATCCGATATTGGGAGACCACAGGTATGCCATTTGAGCAGATCCTTTGATAATGACAATACTTTGGGCTGATGGATTTTACTTTCTCAGTTTTTTTTCATTCAGTCACTTCTAGAATGAGCAAACTAGAAGTAGAATCACTTGTAATTAAACTCTGTGAGTGCTAGCACGTATCAATTGATCTTAAAAAATTCTTCAACCAAGACTGTTGTTGTCAGAAAATTACCACATACCTGGAATACATCAACTGAGCAAGCTCTCTCACATGACACCATGCCATCTTTCACTTTCACGAAGTAACTCAGTTAAAGGTTGCATATATTTTGTCTGATCAGATTGTCTTGCTTGTTCAGGGTAAATTTTTGGGGCTATTCTACCATTGGGTTTTTCTCGCCCATGGTTAGATACTCATCGGCAAGCTCTCGCAACTTTGCTGGAAGAGCCATTAATGAGTTCAAAACTCTTGTTAAAGAAGCACATAAACGAGGAATTGAAGTGAGAACTAATTTCCATGTAGCTAAATGTTTTTTGTTAGGTTTACAAATGTCGTTCTTGATAGATTCTATCTAAGCAGGTCATCATGGATATCGTTTTGAACCACACTGCCGAAGGCAATGAAAAAGGACCCATTTTCTCATTTAGAGGAGTTGATAACAGTGTCTATTACATGCTTGCTCCCAAGGTATTGCTCATCGAGCAGTCGTGTGTTTCTTTTTGACAATTTGACTTTTTAGTTTATGAATCAATACCCATAATGCTTTAGTTTTCTAGTTTATAGTCTCATACTGTTGATTATGTTATGATTCTTTTATTATTGAATCTAAAGTTTATTCATATGTTGTGATTTAACAGGGCGAGTTCTATAACTATTCAGGCTGTGGTAATACATTCAACTGCAATCATCCTGTAGTACGTCAATTCATAGTGGATTGCCTGAGGTATTCGCGAAAACAGGGTAGACGTATTACTTGGCTGGTTTTCAATTAAGCTTGTGATAATCTATTACTGTACTTTTATGGTCTTGGGTTACACATTCTAATATTCTACGGGTTTTATGTGTAATGCTTACGCCTTTTTGTGAGATAAAGTTATTTTATTGCATGCTTTTCTCCTCAGTTAACTCTTCCTAATCCTGTGTATATACCTCTCTTCAACCAGATATTGGGTAACAGAAATGCATGTTGACGGCTTCCGCTTTGATCTTGGTTCAATCATGTCAAGGAGCAGCAGGTGAAAATGTTCTAAAGTACGTCAAATAAATGTTTGTTTGGTCTATGCGTTTGTGGAATTCTTACTGTTCTATGTTTTTTAGCCTTTGGGATGCAGCCAATGTTTATGGGGCTGATGTAGAAGGTGACTTGCTGACCACTGGTACCCCTGTTAGCTGCCCTCCTGTACTTGACATGATAAGTAACGATCCAGTACTTCGTGGTGTTAAGGTGATCAACTAGTTTCCTTGATATTTCCCCATTATATAACTTAGATTTTACTGTTCAGAGCTATATCGCATCTACTTCTGCTTCGTTTGCGTGCAATTCTTAAGAAACACTTATTATCTGTTTGGCATATTTACCTAGAACGTGATAGACAATGGTTACCATATTATGCATATGTTTGGATTTCCACTTCTTCACATATGCGGATGATTTAGGTTCGGAAATCATTATTAACAGAATCGTATTCCTAGAGTCTTCAGCGCATGTCATTGTGTATGCTAGAAGTAACACTACTAGAGGGCTTAATTCACTCCATTCAAAGTCTAAGGTGATTGCAATTTAAAGAACAGTGTCACAGGCTCTTCTAATTGACAAAAAGATACTAGATTTATACAGTTATTTCCTTGGTGGGTGTCTTTTTTGGGCCAACTTTTCTTTCTTACTCATTTATGCTTTGCAAACAGCTAATAGCTGAAGCATGGGATGCGGGTGGCCTTTACCAAGTTGGCATGTTTCCACACTGGGGTGTTTGGTCTGAGTGGAATGGAAAGGTCAGTAATATATTACCAGGATAAAC